ATAACATTTCTAATTCTTAATTCATAATTTATTTGCTAATAGATGCACTGGTTTAAACATGGTATCCATATTCAGCTATTTAATATTTAAATATAAATTTTAACTATAATATTTACCTAAGCGTTTCGATCGATAAAATAGCGAGAGCAAAAAGAAGTAAAGTAAAAACAAGGAGGCAACAGATAAGGTAAAAATTTGTCCCAAGAAATTATCGAGGCGGTGTAAACTTCCAAGTCTTAAAGCAATCGAAATAAATATTGTGATATATGCTGGGCGCAAAAATATGGGGACTCAAACAGAATTNCCACGGAAGTACTTTGATTTGGTGGGGGTAACATTTCCGGAATAAACGATTGATGAACTCGGCAACCAGAAATACAAATACAGATGGTAGACATATGTGACACTCAATACCTGATGAATGGGACTGTTAAATAAGAAGATTTATTTGATGGTAAGTATTTGGTAGTTAGTAATTAGTAATTAACCTTTTTTCTTTTTGTAGGTAACTTGGTAAGTTACTGTAAACCGAAGAAATATATGGATTCATATAAATTGTGAACCAGTTTTAAACAAATGCACCTACGTCATCTTTTATTTAAAGTTGTGGTATTCTAATGTAGATAATATATATATTTTTATATTGTTATTACCGTTACCTGTATAAGTATTTTCCATTAAATTTTACAATATCACTTATCAAGTATTTTAATTTTTCTGTTACCTTATTACATTGTAATTGTAAAATTAGTTATTCATAAAGTAATTAATATGATTTTACAAATTTTAAGTACTTTTCTGGCGGTAGTAATTTTAAATGCTACAGTATAATTCTATACTCTACAACTTTTATAAGGAACTTTTTTTTCTAGCTCTTATCTCTTTTGAGTTATCTTGAAAAAGTCCTTTATTTTATCTTTTTCACCCCTGGACGGAGGTTGAAAAAAAATTAGTGTCACTCATTATTATATACCTCAAATTAACTTATATCAAAAGTTCAGGCAAGTTGACCAAAATTGCGATTTAAAGGCCCATTTAATTAGACTATTTGGTTACATCGCTTTTTTAGGGGGAAGCAGAGAGGTCATCATCTCATTGTAGGATTAAGATTTTCAACTTACGTAATATTTAGTTAGAGTAGTTACATGGAATACAAGAAGTATTTTTGTTTGAAACATCCCACAAATACCTGTGGGTATCAGGATAAAGAATATTTCATATTTCATATTTTAGTTTATATGATTTACTGCTATACATTTTTGTATAGCAGTAAATCATCGGAAATTAAGGTGCTTACGTAGTCGGCGTTGTTACTACCATCTATCTGCAAATAAAGACGACTAGCGCATGCGCTTGAGCTCGATAGACGCTTTGACTTAAGCTTACTCGGTTCTATAGTTGGTATTTTCGTGCGTCCATACCGCTTTAACCTCCCATAACTTAATTCCTATTTTAAGAATAACAATAGGTTACTTACGCTTAATTTTGTTTTCCTCTTAGCGAGCGGATTTACAATTAATTATTTTTGTTACTTAACTGTCTATTGTCTATTAGACCTATGAAATATATTATCAGTAAAGTATCTCATATAATAAACATTTAGTATAGATTATCGTTTTATTTTGCCAGAGTTTGACAAATTTTGAGGTAATGTAAATATTGAGGTGTTCCGTGGTAGAAATTTGTCTGGCGTCCTACTAATATCTTCGAACCACTCCCCCTGCCACTGAGAAGCCTTCCTTTTGTAAACGTCCAACTGTATGTAATATACAGGGTGATTCAAAACTTATAAAAAAAATTTGGATGTACAATTTGGATTTGGATGTCTTACAAATACAATTTTGTAAAGAAAAAATCAAAAAGGGCAGTTCCAAAATGATTTAAAAATACACTTCTGCACGGCACTAGAAACTGATCCACTGGAAAACCTGATCTCGCACAATGCGACCGGCATGGCGGCAAAGTGTGAAAAAAAAACCGAAAAAAAAATTATTATAATAGCAAATTCAACTGCTTTTGCCGTTATTGTTATTATTAATTAATAAAATTAATTTGTGGTTTTAAATAATAAAATAATTTGATAATTTGACATAGGTAATGTTACAACAACTGTTCAAAACTTTATCCATTGACGTGTAAACACATTTGGGTCCATCTTACTTAATTTCTACGAACTAGCACCTTGTCTTGCTTCACCATAACACACATTTTGTCTTGTTTCACCTTAATTTAAAACAATATCCAACAACTCCGAGTTGCTATTCACGCAAGCCATTTTTGATACTACCTACTAAAAAACTATTGTAAACACCACAGATAACAGGTCAACACTAACGCAACGACGATTGCAAAATCGGATTTCAGTATTCGGAGTCGCTGAGGTCACGTGGCTCTCCACGCGTATTGCGAATGACGCTAGAGACTACAGTTGTCCAGCTATGTAATGTACTACAACTTTAATAATTTTTTTCTCAGAAACTATAAGGATTTTACAAAAACTTTTTTAAGATATTGACTCCATTTCTCATGCCACATCTATTCCCAAATTTTTTTGGATAAGTTGTGAATCGCCCTGTAGATTGAACGATCTACAATTAGATAAATATTTATTTAGGTCGGTTACAACTGTTAAAGATATTTTGGTATTTTTTATTTAGTTTTTAGTATCTAAGATTAGACTTTTTTCGCTAAGAATGATGGACCTTTTGTTTTCTTTTTTGTGATACTGTGCGCAGATATTTTTTAATCAAATTGTAGTAATATGAATTTTTTCAAATAATGCTAAATACATCAACGTTGTTAATTTTTACTACCTTGTATGGCCCACTAACTACGATTTCTCCCAGAAGGATTTGGTATACCCTGTGTGTTCTGCTCTCGGTTTTGCGCTTCCGATCATAAGTATCTCGAAAATCGCAAAAATATCTAACTTCTTTAACAAGTTGTAATTTTTAGAGTAAATGAACTCTTCATAATGTCATATAGATGGCATCTCGATTCAAAGAAATTAAATTCTGAGAATTTTTTAAAATACAAACTATTTTTGAAAAACCTTTTCAGTTATTATAACTTATTGAAATTTATTTTAGTCGTGTCAGTTATTTTATTCAAAATGCTATTGGGCCGGAAATTATTTATTTTAGATATGTTTTAACGAATAACTTTTCTAAGTTATAATATTGTTTCANGTTATTACCGTTACCTGTATAAGTATTTTCCATTAAATTTTACAATATCACTTATCAAGTATTTTAATTTTTCTGTTACCTTATTACATTGTAATTGTAAAATTAGTTATTCATAAAGTAATTAATATGATTTTACAAATTTTAAGTACTTTTCTGGCGGTAGTAATTTTAAATGCTACAATATCATTGTATTAAAGTCATATACTACTAAGCTACCACCATGGTTTCTACACAGATTTGTTTTAGAGACAATATTTTAGGTCTCCATTAAAGGAATTGGTTAACTGGTCGGATGAATGAATTGTCATAACCTATTTTGAACGTTACAGATAGAGATGTAAATAAGTAACTATAGGTAACAATTTAGCTATCTGTTTATTTAATCAAATATTAATCGAGACTCAATATATTATTGTTTTTAATTATTGCAATCAAACCAATGTATTTAAACAACATTTTCACCAAAATAACCCGATTAACGAGATGACCTTATACACTGTAAAAATATTTTAGTCAAATTTCACTCAATTTTACTCAATAATGTATCAATTTCTGTCCACACCCTATTGAGTGAAGAGTGAAATTTTCACTCTATTAGTATAAGTACAACTGAGTGAAACTATTGGAAATGAGTGAGTTTTATTCAAATCCGAGTTACTGTTAACTATCAATTGAGCTATTTTTTACTCTATTCTGAGTATATAAAACCAATTTAGAGTTAACTTTTTCTCTAATATGATTTAAATTGAGTCATTTTTTACTCACACTTGATTTTTAATTAACTAAATATTGAATGCAAAGCTAAATCACTCATAAATGATTAGTATATACAGTGTTGAAATTAATTCACTTTGCGGGGCCTCCTCCTGTTCTGGCTGAGACCCGTCAGCTGAGACTCGCCGCCGGCGGCTAAAGCTTGTTCTCATGGCGATCACGCTTTTCTAAGCATCAACTGTGGTCGAGATTACAGAAGCAGTATGTAAGTGGTGCCATCTTCACGGCGCCATTCAAATTACTCGAAATTAATATACATTTAAACTCACTTAGTAATGAGGACATTTACTCTGATTTTGGTACAAGTGCACCAAATATGAGTATACGCGAAGAATTTATTTAAGGAGTGAAAGTACTCAGTTTCAGTTTAAACATAATCGCAAATGAGTAAAATGATCAAAATGTTCAATACTGACAGAAAATGTACTCAATAATTTCACACAATGGATTCCCTCCGAACCTTTACTGCTGCTTCCACTCACACTGATTTTTTTTACAATAAAGGGACGATGGGAATAGACAAAGACAACCCACGACAACCAAAAAATGAGGTAACTCAATAATGAGGACATTTACTCCGATTTACTTACAAGTCCACCAAATACAAGTTTATCTGCAGAATTTATGAAACGGGTACCTATATTGGATTGAAAGTACTCAGTTTTAGTTCAAATATTATCACAAATGAGTAAAATTATCAAAATGCTCAATGTTGAGTGAACATGTACTCAATCATTTCACTCAGTGGATCCACTCTATCAATTGCTTTCACTCACACTAATTTTTTTACAGTGTACAGTTCATGTTCAAGTCGCCCCGTACATTTTATTTCAAGTTGTTATTGAAATGGAAACTTATGTGTGATTTCATCGGAATTTACCTTAATTAACGTGTATTGTTGACTTCAATTCTGTTGAAATTAACATAAATCCAACCGAATCTATAAATACCGCCTTTTAAAATAGGCGGCGGCGGACGCCGTTCCGTGGACGCCTGCGCGTCCATAATCGATTCGGCGACTGACTTGCAACTAGCTATCACGAAAATGTCAATTTGTTGTCAGAAATATCGCCGAATAGATAAAGAAAATGTCAGATAGTAAGTCGACCGAGGGCTGGGTGAGTATTATTTTAATATGTCTTATAAAGTGTGCCTTGCCTTGCTTGACGCTTGTCTCTTGTTTCGCCACAATCGGCCGACTTGATGTTAGAGGATGTTCCCTGATGTTTTTGTTATTTAAACGTAATCAGATGTAATTCGAGCGGTATAATTATGTGTAGGCTGTGCTGGAAAGGATGTTTGTCCGGGGGTAGGTTGAAACGGCTTCTAAAAACGTGTATTTTAGTTATAACCAACGCCAGCCAGGTTGACATTTGTCCTTTTATACATGTATGTTGAATGTAAGATAGCTGTGTAGTCTGTATCTGTTAAATGTAGTTGTTTTTAGCATCTTTCGAACTGATGTGTTAAATATTACATGCAAGCTTGTTTTTAACCATACAATTTCTACTATTACTTGTATAATTATATTGTATTGTCTTCATTAAATTTATTTTCAACATTCATTCTATTCTAATGAGTAGACTGTGGGACATGGGTAGTAATTAAGTATTAAATTATGGATAATTGGTATGATGAGTTTAACATTCTGTATTTACCTGTTTAAATACTTCACTGCTTACAAAGTTGAAATTTTAGAAAATAAAACCTAAGGTAAATTAAATACGTTTTAATAATAAGGTTTAGATTCTTACTAGCATCCGTTTTTAATAATATTGAATTAGTAAACCAAGGTATTTCTTAATCACTAGCCCACATAAATACAGTAGTTTTTCATCCTACAGTAAGAGATATTTGGATACTAACTTGCCTGAAGCTTCTTAGAACTATCAAACTTAGATACATTCAGTGTGCAACAGGTTATAAAAAGTGTTTTATTCCTTATACAGGGTGTCCCATAAGTACGAGTACAACGAAAGGCCACATTCTGTACTCAGAATATGCAGATTAAGGCTAATCAACTTAAATTCAACATCGCTTCGTTTGGCCGCTAAATGGCACCAACACTTTTTAAAATTTTAAATATCTCTAATATTCAAAGGTCGAGAAGTCGCTCCAACATAATGTTTATTGCATTCACAATTTTTTTTAAATTATTATTTGGACGCGTTTTTAGCTAAAAGTCCAAAAAGTATTCTGAAAAACTGTTTTAATGTTAAATTTGTTATCTATTTTCCTTCTTTTCTCTGATAGTACAGGAATATATGGAATTTTTATTGTGGATGTAATTAATCTTTGTTATCAAACATAATTTGTTTTAATTTCAATATTCCCAAAGACTGTTTCAACAAATGTCTCCGGGCATTGATTATTTTTTATTAGTACATTTTTTATGAATTTCAATTTATTATTAAAAATTTCATCTTCTGAGGACACCAGTTTGGCTCTATCATACAAACATTTAACTAAATACACCTTTCTTTATATCAGTATAATGATTTGAATGAAACTTTAGTTATCTGTTAATGTGAGTTGGTTTTCTATAAACATTTGTTTCTAAATAATTGCCATTTTTTAAATTGAAATATCCAGAAAGGGTAGCGAATTATTGCTTTCTATTTCCAAAGTAAATTTAATTGTTGGTTCCTTGTATATAATATTGTCTAGAAATATACTGGGTGTCCCAGAATAACGTGTACTACGGAAGACCACAGATTCGTGGTACAAAAAAATATTTTTTAAATGTTTACATTATCGTGTCACCCATATTGTAATACTTAACAAAGTGTTAGTAGGTACTGATTTTGTAGGTTGACTGCAGTCTGATCTTTAAGTCATTATGCCTGACAATTCTTAATAAGTGTTTACGACGGTAGGATATACCACCTGTTAATTCATTTTTCGATATGGAGACACGCATACGAAGAATTAGAGTTATTTACAATGTGCCTAATTTTGTTGAAACAATCAAATATAACGCTTTGATAGCATTCTTATTGGCTCTGTTATTCTACCTAATAGACTGAATGGGAAATTTTATTTAGAACTTTATTTTATTTACCCGAGTTATTGGAAGGTGTGCCATTATTACTCAGAGCTAATATGCGGTTTAAGCATGATGGAGCTCCACCTCATTTCACTGTAAATGTTCGACAGTATCTGAACTAAAGATTCCCTCGTAGATGGATAGGTAGAATGAATAATACTCCTGTTAGCTGCCCTGTATGTTCACCAGACTTAACACCTTGCGACTACTATCTTTGGGGCACTCTTAAAACAACAGTGTATGCTTTCACATCTAACACTGAAGAAGAGTTGTGGGGACATATCCAAATTCCCATAAATGTTTTAAAAAATTGCTTTTAAGAACTCCAAAGGGTGTCCTTTAACTTTCTTCGCTCAATTAACCTTTGTTGTAAAAACAACGTTGGTAATTTTGAACAGTTTTTATGATAAATTGTACTAAATTTAATAATATCAACTTTGTTACTTTTATCTTCAGCATTTTATTGTTTATTTATGAATTATTTCAATAAAATTAGTGGCGTTGTAAATAACTCTAATTCGTCGTATGTGTGTATATCGATATCGAAAAATTAAGTAACAGGTGGTATATGTTATCGTCGTAAACACTCATTAAGAATTGTTAGGCACAATGACTTAAAGATCAGACTGAAATTACAGTCAACCTACCAATTCAGTGCCTACTAGCACTTTGTTAAGTATTGTAATATGGGTGGCAAGATAATGTAGACATTTAAAAAATATTTTTATGTATCTAAACCGCTCTTTTAATCAAAATTCTACAAGAGGCCCAAAAACCACATAGTTTTTACACGTAAACTTAATAATTCCCTTATACATCCTGTACTTAAGTTAGTTCTATTTGTCAAATTGCAGTTGATTTTTAAGTCACTGAACCTGTTAATTTCCGATGAGTATTTAACACAAAAGATTTATCACTTTGTATTTCATTTTTTTCAACATGAATAGATACACATCCGATTAAATCTAGAATGCTCTTTGAAATCATCGTACAACAACCGAAGACATGGAAGAACAAATTCTGGATGGGAATGAGGAAGACCCTAGAAAAAGTTCTAGGTGTCTAGAAAACAAACTTGCAGTTCCTAAAGATGTTGCTCCCTGACTTTTAAGGAACAGTTATCAACATCCCTTATCGTTATCCCTTATCACTTAGATAGAGTGCAAGATTCTACTCACAGACCCATACAATATATCACTTTTCTAGCAGTTATCAGTTTTAAATTATTATCATCCCTTATCCTTATATCTTATCACCTCAATAGAGTGCAATATTCTACCCAAAGACCCATACAATACATCAATTTTCTAGCAGTTATAAGTATTAAAAACCACAACACCAAAATCTGTCAATTGAAAGCAAAAACCTACACCCCAAAAATAACGTTAATTAGAATATTTTAAAAGCTTTTTCTGGGACTTTGAGGCCAAAGGAAACGATTTAGAATATAGGTAAATTAGCCTAAATTGGCCTATTTCCAGAAATCTGTAGTCTTCCCTGTATATATCATATCCAAAAATTTTGCTTTGCTATTACATATTATTTAAAGAACATATACATTCAAGGTCACTGAAACTTCTCCCTAAAGCTAAAATCACCTTTTCGACTCCTATTGGTAATCTATAAATGTATTAAACATTACGCTACATCATATGTATGTATGTATAAAGTAGTATAGGAAGTACATAAACAAAATTTAAAAATAACATCTGACTTCTAATTTCTACGAAATGTTTTGATAATAAATTTAAAATGTAATCTAAAGCAATGTGTGTACAGTGTCTGTTATACTCTTATATATTAAAATGTATTTATGAATTGCTAATGATGAAACAAACTGAAGTACTGTAAATTTATTTTATGAATGAATCTCTCGTATTACTAAGTAAAAATTTATTTGTTGGGAGAATTTCTGAATTATAATGCAAATAGTAGTACAGACAATTACAGATCTATTTTTACGGTTTTTAGACGAAGAAGTAAACATCTGCGATGTTGCCACATTGTGTTTATTCCGTTTCTCCGAATATTCGGCAATCACCCAATATTACCACATTAAAATTTGTGTTTCTTTCTCATTATAGACCGTTTTTCTAATATCACTATTTTTGTACATTATTTCCTTTTATTTTCCAGCAGAGAAAATGGTGCTGTCGAGGTCGAAGCTGTGTTTCCTGACATAAATCACTGGGTTGACTAGTAGACATATCGAAATTTTTTATACTCTCGATTTGTATCAACGTAGTTTAGTGACCCACTTGCTGTAGAATTTATCCAAATAGTCGCCAGCTATGGGAAGTACCTCATCCAAATTCAAAAAGTACCTTCAACATGGAGACGAGTTCGCCGCCATGCAAATCTACCAGAGTTCCCCGGAGCTGAGGAAGAACTTGGACCCTAACCTCAGCTACGGAGAGAACCACAATCACAATACAGCTCTTCACTACGCTGCCAAACATGGTGAGTGGAATGCATATCACCATTTATTGGAAAATTCAAAATGAACTGTTATGATGGTTTTTTTATTTTGAATTGAATGAGAAATATATATGATCTTTGCAGAAAGATTGAAGTAGTTATAGCTATTTGCGTATAGCTATGGCCACATTGTTGGTTTAAACTTCTTGATCCTTCGAAAGACATTTCTTCATACTCTCTTCAGAAGAAGAAACTGTGATTAAAATTTGTTGGTCGTTATCTCTCTAGGTAGCTGAACCTTGAATTACATCTCCTAGACAGTTCGACTTGGGAAAGATTGGAGTGAAGTTATCCACACATTTCCAGCCACGATTTATGACACATGGTACATTGAAGGTGGGATAGATGAAACCGCAGATATGGGCGGGGCAAGACATGCGCATGCGCTGTGTGCGCAATAGACGCAGTATGTAACTAATTAATCATTCTACGGTGAACTCGGTGATATCAAATACGCCTATATAATTTACTCAATACATGGGTACAGCGAGTAACTAAATTAGTTAAATCACGACAGGATGTCTTTGAAATATTATAAATATAATAACGAATTAGCGTCATAAAAGAAAATTATTTTCTAGAGTTGTGTTTACGTTGCCAAGTGCACGCCCGGAAAATCTATAAATATAGACCACCAAGGCAAAACATTGTAACCAACATCAGCTCCGAGTAGCATCCCCCTGAATTATTTTAAATATAATAAGGAATTAGCGCCATAAAAGAAAATTTTTTTCTCGAGTTGTGGGAACGGTGCCACATGCACGCTCGGAAAATCTATAAATATACACCCCGTACTACTACCCCACCAAAGGAAATGATTGTAACCAACACCAGATCCGAGTAGCATCCCCCTGAATTATTTTAAATATAATAAGGAATTAGCGCCATAA